GACTGTGTGTGTTTGCCCGTTGGCTCCGCTGCCGCGGCCGCCGCAGTGAGATCCTGGCCCTGCTATCATGGCTGTAATGGCTCGATCAAGGCGTCGCAACACACTGCTGTTGTGATTTTTAAAACACCCAGTTTCATTTGTGGACTGTTAAGAACTGAGTAGATCTTTTTAATCCTCATTTTTAATGAATCTGCAGCGCATGACACACAACAACAGACTGGCTCTGCAAATGACAGCATACATTGGTGGTTTGATTTACTCCTCTGCTCCGAAGAATACAGTGATGTGTTTGCAACAAATTTTGTGATTGTTTCTAATAAAATGTTGATTAATACACATCTACAAGCTTTGATGAGCTGTTGCAGAAAATCACACAATGGGATCAGTAATACTACCAGCTCCTGGTAGTGTGGATGTCCTCAGTGTGAATAAAAAAAAATTATGCAGAATAATATTATTTTAGAGAATGGGTTTACTGCAAGTTGTGACAGATGACGTGGTTCAATAGTGAGCAAGCAGACTGTGCATGCAAATGTTGTTTCACTGAGAGAAACTACTCATGGGGGATTTTGTCTGTGAGTAAGGTACACTGGGTTGCATCAGATGTGGTTGTCTTGCTTCTGCTGATTTCCTTTCCTTGCCCAGTTTAATCTGATTTAGTCTTGGGAAGACCAGTGAATGTTGCTAATTGCAGGCATGTGTTGTGTTGGTATTGTCTTTAACCATGACACATCAGTAACATTTGTGACTGTCATCCTCAGTCTTGGGCAAAGGCAAATACACCTATTGTGTAGGTGTTGGTAACTATTCATACTAGAGGCCAACAGAAACGCTCTGTTATTTTAAATTAACTATGGTCAGATGTTGAAAACGCAGCAAATGTACAATCCATCAGAGGTTTTGCTGAGCAGCACTTACATGATGCTCTGCTCTTGTGACTTCGATGCACTCATTTGGAGTTACTTGAAGTAGTAGTTGAGTCAAAGTTTTGTTTCCAGTAGTTTCTGGGAAGGAGTCTCTAGTGGCACCTTTCCACAGAGTTTTTTTATTTCACAACAGTCACTTTTAGTTGGTGAAGGAAGAAAAACCTTAATTTCAGACATTGTCTTGCCATCCTGTTTGAATCACATGCGAGCAATGACCATGAGCTAGATGTACTGTATGATGAGTCACTGTGTGTCCAAGCTGTTTTGATGATGCAGTAGAGGAGCTATAAAGGCTTGGACAGTTGTTTTTATAGCTGCATTTTTAATGTCTATTTAACATTCAAAGCTATCTTTTCATTGTTACCTAAACATAATTTAAGTGCCCCTTTTTCCTCTTTTGTTTTTCAGTAACTTGGGCAAGCAAAAGCCTTTGGCCATGTCCGGACAGAGGAGAGGAGCTGCTGCACGGCTGCCTAAATGTGCCTTCTGCAGAACCAACCGGGACAAGGAGTGTGGCCAGCTGCTGATGTCTGACAGCCAGAAGGTGGCGGCCCACCATAAATGCATGGTGAGCAGAGCACATTGTTCTCAACCAATTGGCCTGTGATTGTTCAAGCCAAAGTCGTACTTGGATGTAGCTTAACCGTTGTCACACAGAACTGAAGCCAAAGACGTGCAGATTTTGTTTGATGCAGTTAGATTTTGTAATGGGACACCTACAAAAACCCTGCAGTTTACAAAGAAAAAAGGAGAAAAACAATCAATTTGTATAACAGAAATAAGTGGTTCATCTATACATTTCTTTGAAAGGCTCCCCTGGGTGGTGCTGACTTCCAGGTTAATGAAAAAACTTCTACAGTTTCTGATGTGCCATTCAAAAATATGCACAAATTAAAAATGCAGCACGGTGGCACAGTGGTTAGCGCTGTTGCCTCACAGCGAGAAGGTTCCGGGTTCGGGTAACAAGGTTCCTGGGACCTTTTTGTGTGGAGTTTGCATGTTCTCCCCTTGCTTGCGTGGGTTCTCTCCGGGTAGTCCGGCTTCCTCCCACAGTGCCCCCCACCCCACCCCCCACGCGACCCTGTTCAGGGACCAAGCGGTAGAAAATGAATGAATAAAAATGGCAAATATGAGCTTCTGTTATAGGTGTATCACATTAAAATTAGTTCTGATGAAACTGTCAGTATGATGCCAGTAAAACATAAAATAGTTAACTCTCTATGGAGGAAACTGATACATTACAAGTGCTACAGGGAAATACACATACAGGTATGGTTCATTCCAGCTTGTAAGTAAATGTGAAATGTTGCAGCATTATAGTCTGACAATGTGTATTAGAGAAGACCTCATAAAATAATAATGGTTTTCATATTTGTGCCATGTAGCTTTTCTCCTCTGCCTTGGTCACATCTCACTCAGACAGTGACAACATTGGAGGGTTTTCCATTGAGGATGTGAAAAAAGAGATCAAGAGGGGAAATAAATTGGTAAGTACCCAGTAGAGCTTTTGTTGTGTGCTAACTGTAAGCTGTAAATGAAACTGAGCATATTTGGATCTAAATATATGGCCCTACAGGTGGTGGTGGTGGTGTTGAGGCCAACACTACAGCACATTTCATTACTGTGCATAACTAAGGATATGCAGCAGCTGCTTTAATTAACTAATGATGGGGATACTCACGTTTGCAAACACTGCTGTTTTCTTGAGCATAGCAATGTCTCCATAGTGGTTACTAACACTCGGTTGTAGGTGTATTAAGCGCACCTAGCTAAAAGGATCACACAGTTGAATTAACATGCCCCTAAAACAGTTTGAACAAAGATAAGATTATCACCTTCATGAAGGAGGATTTATTGCAGGACTGTTAGTTTGACTGCATTAATTTTAACTTGGTGTACCTAATAAACAATCAGCTGAGTGCCTTTAATATCAGGTTTCCTCATTGTGTATTTCTGGGGGTGTGTATTCATACTCCTTTTTTGTGTTCATAGTGTGTGTGTGTGTCTATAGGATCACAAAGTAAGTTGTATCAAGGAAAGAAGCTGATACTAGCATCCCTCTCATGTGTTAAGTAGGAAACATCATCTTTTGTTTTCTAATAAAACATCAGTGGGCAGTGGTGGCCCAAGAGGCAGATCGTGACCAGAAGTTTCAACATCACTGCAGAGGTGGCCTTGAGCAAGTCCCTTAACCTACGTGCCAGCAGGTCGGAGTATGTCCTGGGCAGCTTCCAGGTGTGAATGTGTGTAACTGTGGCTGTGTTCAGGGCATTGCTGTGAAAGAGGCTGCTTTTCAGTGGCACCGCTGTGTAAAACCACAAAGCTTGTGGTTTGACATTAGGGATCCGGGCCTGGATCAGGGTACATTTGAACCCAAAGTCCTGTTTATTTTGTACTTGACTCTGGCATTGTGCCAAAGTCCACTTGAAGAGATGGTTTTGAGCTTGATGCCAGAGTCGATTCATTTGTATTCAAGTACAGTCCACGGGAGATGTGAACGCAACCATGCTCAAATAAGGAAGTGGGCTGCTATGTGACGTCATAACTATTAGACTCTGCCGGCTTAAACATGAACAAACGTGGCTGTGAAAGGATCTCTGTGGAGTAACGAAGAAGTACGATACTTGCTTGAAATTTGGGCCGACGAAAACGTACAATGACAACTGGATACAAAAAAACAATTTGTGGAAGTTTTCGTCAGTATTTACAGAAACAGATTACGTCCAGTTGATGATGCAAGTGGTACTCTTTTTGGCAGATTGCAAACCAACTACAAGCATACTGCCACCTACTGTATTGGAATGTGTACATATGTAGGTGTGCTAATGTGACAGCAGACCTGCAGAGGAGGGGGGAGCAATCATGCTCAGGCATGGTACAAATAATCATAATGTGAAAACACCCAGTGACACTACTGTATAAAATAACATAAATAAAACTAAAAGAAAAAAATCTAGAATTCTTGTGTTGTTAAAATGAACGTGTTCATTTCTTCATGTGACAGATTGTTAACCTACAGTGTTTCTGCTCAGATCGGTTTCACACATTGTTTATTTTTCATAGAGGTTCCCATAGCTTATGCCATGATTTTTATATGAAACCTTGATACTGTGCTGTAAAATATCACCCATTCACTTACTGGTAAAGTGTCCATTTCTTCACATCTCTAAGCAAGATGTTTATTTAAATTCATATTCCTATATTTTTTTTTTACTTTTTCACACACTTTGACCTACATGAGTTTTGTTTTTGTATAACCTCTAGAGTCCCTGCGTCCTCATATGAGGACCGCACAGCTTGGGTTTCCAAAGCTCAGGACTCTAGAGGTTAATCAGAGCAATGTTTAGATGGTAATTAATGATAAATATGGGTAATGATGCATCTTTGCATAAATTTAAACATGTTTTCATTTTAATATTAAGATTTCTCTGCTGTTGTTCCAGCTTTTTCTACAATCTTGTGTTCTTCTGTGCCGGCCTCCCTGCTGAATTTAATTTGTTTTTCTCCTGCAATGAACAAATTCTCCCCACAGGGGTATCATTGGATGATATTTGCATATGGCCTTTCTTACAGTTGTCTGTCAGGCTCAGGGCCCCATCGTCTTTGGAGAGAAATAATTATTCAGATCCACATCTGAAAAAATCACATTTCGCATTAATGAGTGGCAAATCACATTACCAGTTGTCAGCTATTTTTCATGAACCTAAAATGTTGTGGAACTGCATGTCCTTGGCTATTTTTCTGAAAGCTGGAGCTGTGCTTTGTCTCCCTCCAGATGTGTTCCTCATGTCACCGACCAGGTGCTACTATTGGTTGTGATGTGAAGACGTGCCGGAGGACGTATCACTATTATTGCGCTGTGAAGGACAAAGCCCAGATCAAAGAGAACCCCTCACAAGGGATTTACCTGTATGTCCTTTTACCGTTGGACTCTCTACACATTCATCTACAATAATTAAAATGTTTAGGTTTATTTCAATTAAAATATACTTTTTTTTTGTTCCTGACCATAGTGTTTACTGTCGCAAACACCGGGATGCTTCTCAGGATGGCATTCAAGGTAGAGTAGGCTTTAGCATCTGTTATATCACTAAGCTACATGGATGGTTGGATTTGCAGCTTAACTGTAAATATCTGTGTGATATGTACTTCACTGTGAAATGTGTTGATAGATTCTAACACAACAGCAATACCCTGGTTTTCAGCTATATTCTTGATATTAAGTCAGGTTTTTGTCTCAAAATTGAAAAACTCTAAAAATGCATCTTCTTGCAGGTTCTTTTCTTGGATGAACTTTTTATCAACACAAAAACGTGTCTTTAGCATGACAGTTTGTTTGTTATTAGATGAAGAAGAGGGAGGTGTGGCCAATGATTCAGACTCATCGCCTCCACAAAGTCGGGGCAGAGGAAGGTTTGAGAAGGGGAGAGCCAAGGTGGGATCTCGTGGCCAAGCAGAAGACACTCACTCACAGGCTGCAGACGAGGAGAGTTCCTCTCACGTAAGGCAACATCTGTTGCAGAATTCAGTCTACGAAATTTACTTAAATGGTCTGTTGGTTGTGTGTCGTCTTTTGTTTTCATTGTTGTTCTGTGTGTTCTAGCGGGACAGGTCTCCTCTTCGGGCCAGCCCAGCAGATGGCGGCCAGCGCTGTGGGTTTTGTCATGCTGGTGATGAAGAAAACGAAACCAGAGGCATGCTTCACACTGATAATTCCAAAAAAGTGGCTGCCCACTACAAGTGCATGGTAAGGTTACTGTGTGTGTGTGTGTGTGTGTGTGCGCGCGCGCACGCAACATTTTACTAAGCAGATTGTTATAAATGTGCATTTAAAGTAAGCCCACTTCATCGGCAGTCCCTAATCTCTGATCCCTTGCAGCTGTTTTCATCTGGGACAGTCCAGCTGACCACTACATCTCGTGCTGAATTTGGGAACTTTGACGTGAAAACGGTCATCCAGGAAATTAAGAGGGGGAAAAGAATGGTGGGAATATTTGTCCTATTTCAATTTCAAAAACAGATTTTGAAGTGTACTCAGAATGAAATGATTGGCTTTGTTCCTTTTCCAGAAATGTACGCTCTGCACTCAGCTGGGTGCTACGATTGGCTGTGAAATCAAAGCATGTGTGAAGACCTACCACTATCACTGCGGCCTGCAGGACAAAGCCAAGTACATTGAAAACATGGCACGCGGCATCTACAAGTGAGCTCAACCTCTACAGATAAATACATTTTACAGTTAAAAATCAACATCACTTCAAAATGAAACATAGACAAATTCATTTTGCTGTATTATATACTTTTTATGTGTAGATTTTCTCTGTTTATTTGCAGTAATTGTTGCCACACGTTTCATGTTGGTGTTGCTTCGCATATGATCATTGCAATTATTCCTTGAACTACATTAAGGATGTGGGATCACAAAGCTTATTAATCCTCTATATATAGACTGTTGTCAGAATTATTTGTTTTTGGCTATAATAGTGTTTTAATGTTATATCACATTTCGGTATGTATTAGATAAAGAAGTTAGCGTTACCGTAGTAGCCCCACCACCTTCCTCTCAATTTTCCAAATACAACTAAGCCTCATTTTCTGGTGCTGAACAATGAAATTGTATCAGAAGTTAAGGTGATAATCCTGTGTGCAGCCAGAGACAGCGTAGACTGCTTATCCATCCAACTGGGTGCCAAAGGAAAGTAGGACTCTCCATATATTAAAAAATATGTCTCTAATGCACACAATGGATGTGTAAATATGAAATCTTATTATATTATGCGCACAATTACGAGCAGCGTGTTTTGCATTACTGCTTCAGGCGTGCTCATCTTGTCATCTTTCAGGAATGCAAAAATAAGAGAGGAAAAAATGGAAATGTATACAAATACCCTCAACACCTGATTTACCACCTCTGCTACAGATGGAACTACAGCTGAAATTTAATGTTGGGAGAAAGCAGGTGCAAAATTTCCAGCACTGCTGTCAGCGTGCAGCTGTTAGTCATCTGACAGCTAAGAATCTGTTTGAGGAAGAGTGTTTGTAAATCCCATCGCCTGCCAGAGGAAAATAATTTGTCCATTTTTGGAGTTCTGTGTGGAATGTGTCAAATTTGGCTTTTCTTCTCTGCTTTTTTGTGTCATTCCAATGCAAACAAAAGAAATAAACATGAGAATAAAAAAATAAATTTCTGTGATTCCAACAGTTTTCTACAAGAAGTGGTGTTATCTGACAGAAATGGAAGGGTGCCAGTATTTTTTTAACATCACTGTATGTTAACCCGTTACTCTCATTTCTTTTACTTGTTTTGTGTTTCTGTATTTTCTCACTTTCAAGCTTCTCTGCGTGTTTTCAGACTATACTGTAAGAACCACAGTGGCAATGAGGAGAGGGATGAAGAAGACGAGGAACGAGAAAATCGGAGCAGAGAGAGGGCAGCAGTTGACCACGGTAGAACACCATCGACACAAGTGAATGGCAATTAGATACATAGGTTAGTAGTAGTTACAGTTGTTAACAAACCTTTTTATTGAAACTCACTGAATGTCCACATTTGTCCTTCATGAAGCCAGTTTATTGTATGTCCTTCTTACAGCTTGTCCTGATGGATGTGACGTGAGGAGGAAACGGAGGAACTCAAAGACGAGGGAGAGATATTTTTTATACTGAATCTTAGCCTACTCACAAGGTCGCGCTCTACAAGCTCCCACGAGTCGTTCACACAGTTTCTTCCAGTAACTGGACACGATGTTCCAATGTGCACCAGATGTCTTCTTCATGAAACCCTGTTTTGAGTTGACTGGGTGAGCTTTTCACAGGCTGATGACACTCTGCAGAGCACAGGACTGCTGCAGGATCAGGAAAAGCCATGTTGGATATTTTCTGAAGAGTCGGTTATGGGCTCGGTTTCACCTACGTGTATTGTTGCCAAGAATAAGAGCTGATGGAAAGGTCTTGATTGTCACTTGCTTCCCATGTCCTCACAGATTACATGACCCACATTTGCTGAAACTGATACATTCTTAGCTTCTAAAGGACTCACTTTTATGAGGGGTCTGTTTGTTACTATTCTCTCTATGAAGTTGTGGAGTTTGATTACCTTGTTTCTGTAATCATGTCTTAAAAATACTCTTTCATGTTAGCCTTTCTTTCTTGATACGTAATATTTTGCTACTGTATTATCATCATGAGTAATTTTGAATATTTGAATTTCAGACGGTCACAATTAGAGGCTTTGCCAGCATGCACTTGGACTTTCCCACTGTTAAAGGTGGTGTTTTTTTAATTTAGTTGCAAAGGGCAAAGTAGAGCTCTTTAGAGGAGTTGGCTTGACTTTGTTTGATGTACTGTTACTTGTATCTCTACAGATGTATCCATGAATGATTGGAAATGGAAAATATTTTATTTTACACATTTACAGAGTGAACCGAGTCCTTCATTTGAAAGTGTGGCTATACAAAGAACTACTCCTGGCTGAGACGGTTATTAAAGTTGAAGGTTTCTGGTCGGCTTTGAAGAGCAGCCATGGGAACAGAGGCTCTTTGAAAGGCGCCCAATCTTATGGCTCCATTCCTTTCATAGAGCCTTTCAAAATAATGGCTCATCATTCCTTTTTCCTCCTCATGTCTGTGGTGTAATAGTTTCAGGTCTGTCTGTTTGGCTGAGGGCAGAGCTTAGCTACATGCACAAGGGGCTTGACAGAGAGGCCACCTTTAGAAAGTAACTGCCATGTCGAATTCAAAACATAACTTTCCGTTTTCTGATTCACTGCTTTGTTTTGCTAGCACGGCTCCTTCTCTTCATCCACTGTAGCTTGCTTGACCATCATTCCAATGTGCACCAGATGTCTTCTTCATGAAACCCTGTTTTGAGTTGACTGGGTGAGCTTTTCACAGGCTGATGACACTCTGCAGAGCACAGGACTGCTGCAGGATCAGGAAAAGCCATGTTGGATATTTTCTGAAGAGTCGGTTATGGGCTCGGTTTCACCTACGTGTATTGTTGCCAAGAATAAGAGCTGATGGAAAGGTCTTGATTGTCACTTGCTTCCCATGTCCTCACAGATTACATGACCCACATTTGCTGAAACTGATACATTCTTAGCTTCTAAAGGACTCACTTTTATGAGGGGTCTGTTTGTTACTATTCTCTCTATGAAGTTGTGGAGTTTGATTACCTTGTTTCTGTAATCATGTCTTAAAAATACTCTTTCATGTTAGCCTTTCTTTCTTGATACGTAATATTTTGCTACTGTATTATCATCATGAGTAATTTTGAATATTTGAATTTCAGACGGTCACAATTAGAGGCTTTGCCAGCATGCACTTGGACTTTCCCACTGTTAAAGGTGGTGTTTTTTTAATTTAGTTGCAAAGGGCAAAGTAGAGCTCTTTAGAGGAGTTGGCTTGACTTTGTTTGATGTACTGTTACTTGTATCTCTACAGATGTATCCATGAATGATTGGAAATGGAAAATATTTTATTTTACACATTTACAGAGTGAACCGAGTCCTTCATTTGAAAGTGTGGCTATACAAAGAACTACTCCTGGCTGAGACGGTTATTAAAGTTGAAGGTTTCTGGTCGGCTTTGAAGAGCAGCCATGGGAACAGAGGCTCTTTGAAAGGCGCCCAATCTTATGGCTCCATTCCTTTCATAGAGCCTTTCAAAATAATGGCTCATCATTCCTTTTTCCTCCTCATGTCTGTGGTGTAATAGTTTCAGGTCTGTCTGTTTGGCTGAGGGCAGAGCTTAGCTACATGCACAAGGGGCTTGACAGAGAGGCCACCTTTAGAAAGTAACTGCCATGTCGAATTCAAAACATAACTTTCCGTTTTCTGATTCACTGCTTTGTTTTGCTAGCACGGCTCCTTCTCTTCATCCACTGTAGCTTGCTTGACCATCACTGCTCTGTCTCTCTCCTAGTGAAGTAAATTAAGAACAGAGGCAGTGAAATTTGGGCACAAACATAAAATGAACAGCTCTCTAGTGGAACTTGGACCCCTTTGTTCCTACTGTCGAGCTGTTGAATAGAATCGGATCATTTGCGAATATAACCTCACTAGAAGAGTGAGGAATGTCTCACTAGCTGCAATGTCATGAAGTAGTTGGAGCATGTAGCTACATTTGCTGTAATGTCGCCGTTCAGTGTAAAGGGGTCTCATGTTCTCACCTGGAACATTCCCTCTGCAGTTGTAGCATTTTATATGTGGATTATTTTATTTAAATGTAAAAATCTTATGCACATAAATTATCAGTAGGTCCACATTAAAGTGTGTTAGGAAAGCTTTAGTGTAGTATATGCTGCAAGTCAAAGATTTTATAGTAAAGCCTTAGGAAATCATGTAAGTTTGTTGGTATTATAAAAGGAAAACAGTCCTTTTATTCCTAAACATGGAGATTTACTGTTTTATTATGATTCTTCAAAACACTGTCCATATCCATGCAACAATGAAATGCCCAACTACATTAAAAGAAAAGGGAGGGCTACAACAAAATACCGTGTTGAACTTCAGTTTTATACTACATACGGATAGGCAGCAATCTAAGGATGGCTCTGTTCTGTTTGAGTGGCCCAGTCATTCGTGACAGTGAGCCAGAATGAACAATGCCAGGACCTTGACGGAAGCAGCTAAATGGAATTCAGCCAACTACACTTTTTTTCCTACATGTCAAAATGTCTTCTGTGAGAAAGATATTTCTTATATGTTATTGTTCAAAGTATCATGTTTTTGTAGATGGTGTACAAGAAGTGATAGTTCACTGTTTTGCACTAAACAGAGATGATGCAATATGTGTGGACAAAAACAAACAGCAACTTGAGTGTCGCTGCCAGTTTAACTTGACAGGTGTTTAAGAGCAACAAGATGACACTGGTGATGGTGGTAAAACAACCCTCCACCCTTCTCATGACATTCTGATCAGGCACTAAAATCTTTTTTTTATTATTTCTATTTTTAATAATTTATCTCATCAACTGTCCAATTACATTTTCAAATATTTCCCAATGCACAGATCTAAATACTGCTTTAAAATCTTAAGGCCAGGAATATAATTTTGGCAGGGAAATGCAGAATCTTTCAATTTGTTTTTGTGGTTCACACATTTTATTATACTGAATTTCTGCTGGAATCGGCCAAATGAAACCTACCCTGTGTTTAATTTTGCTGAACCCCTGCACCTCAGAGTTATCAGTAGTGGTCAATCAAAACAATACATTCACTCAAGAATTTATAAGTTTGACATACTTGCACTTCACTTGGAGGCACTTTATAATCATAATCCACTACAATTGCAATTATTTCACATGTGTAGTTACTATTTACTGTACTAATTAGGATTTTAAGTACAAAACAGACTGAGTAGTCAGCTTATCAGATACACCTAACTAGAACTAATGCACCCTAATCTGACAGTCCTACAAGTCTTCCATTTATGAAGGTGACCCTTACATTTTTGTTGAAACTGTTTAGAGTGGTGTTGATTAAACTGTATTTTGGAAGATGTGGCATGTGCAGCTGTTGAACTCGGTTGCATTATGTTGAAAGGTGTTCCTGTTATTTTCTCCCAAATGACATCAGTGAGGCTAATCTAAATAACTGAACCAGCTCTCTGTTAACAGTAAAAGCGCTGCATTCAAAATCTAATTTTTGACCCCACATACCACACAGTGTAGGCTTTTTACTGCTTATTGCTTTATTTAAAGGAATTACTATTTTACAATTTAATTTTCCCCTAATTACTAATTTTGTGAATCGCTGCTAACAATTTTTTCTTATTCACAGTTTGAACTAAAACCACAAACATCTATCTATCTGTCTGTCTGTGTAGTCATTCAGCCAGTCCAGCAGTCATGCTTATAATAAGTGCATTTAATAAAAAAAGTATAAAGGGAGGTTGGTTGGGTTCAGCATTTATTACCAGTAGGTGTCTCTAGTGCACGCTGTGTTAGAGACACCTACTGGTACCTACTGAGACCATGAGTTACTGAATCTGTTTGTCAGTGATATAGTTGGCTGAAGAGTCGGTGCTTTGCGAAATCGCTAGTGTCGCCATAACAACTTGCTTTCTCTTTGACATTGCACACCGCGGTCAGAAGTTGACATGTCAGTATCAGCAGGCTGAAACATGCTATGTATTCACAGCTCGATCGCTAACCCCCCGGGGGGCGGGGCTAATACGGTCCTGCTCATTTGATTGGCCTTACGCCTTTCTGCGTCATCATATACAAAACATCTGATGTACGTGCAGCCGCAGTCCGGAAAAAGGCATATCACTTTATAGGAACGTGAGCTAGCTGTTTCCATGTGTTTGCCGCGGTCACAGGGGTGACGAGTCCGCGAAAGCAACTTGAGAACAGAAATTTATCTTGTCTTTCCAAAGACTACGGTAGACTACATAAAACTGAGCTGCAGGGAGCGACACGGTTATGGCGACATCCAGCTCCTGTGTTGTGGTAAGTTAGAAAGTGGTGGGAGGTTAAGTCACCACTGCATACCTGCTGGAATAAGACGCTGTATATAGATTGATCTTGCTTGTTAGAGAACTTAAATCTACTGAATTCTGTTAGTCATTAGTTACCTGACTGTATGGCCCGTATGCTCACCGCTTTGTGCAAATAACACTGTATTACCAGTGTAGCGTGGCCTGCGGCTTTGGAGATAGACACGCGCTCTTCACGTTTGCAGCAATGTTACGTCCCGCGTTTGGACTGGCACATAAAAACACGATTAAAACCTAATATTCATCTTATGGGTCTGACAGCAGGTTACACGTTGTAACCTTATCAGTATAACTACACGAATATACAATGACAGCAAGAAACGCACGAGCTACAAACAAGGGGCGTGGCTTTGAGCGCGCGCTTCTCCATTAAGGGTTATAGATAATAAGGGTGCTAGGTGTTATGACTGTGTATATTTGGCGTAAACTATAACTTAGTGGCTTGAATCGATTCAAACGCGCATGTCCACTGCATGGATGCAGTGTTATCTTGACTGCAACAAGGTGAATTTGCAGGCAAAGTTCAAATTTGCTTTAAAGGGTGAAGTTCAATCTAACCAGCAGGAGTAACAGTGAAGGCGCACAGGAAGATATGGAAACTGACAGTCCTCAATTTAGTTTGCATAATTTTTATTATGAAATGAAGGCTAAATCGATTGCATTTCATTTTGCCATGGGTTTTGGATTTCTTTATTCAAATTGCAATTCATTTTTAAATTGGCAATTCATTCCACCAGAGCAGTTGTCAAATCTATGGTATTTCTTTGGAAAACAGCTGTGTGGTGGTATACAGTGATTGTTTTGTAAGTTTAGTGATGTGATCAATCTGAGGAAATGTCATCAATTATCAGCAAGGTTCCTCTTGGTGCCACAAGCAATTTAAAATAAGATATTCATGGTTAAGTAAACCTCTGTTGTACAGATGACTCCACAGATCTTACTGCCTTTCGAAGGAAAAGGCTTGTATATGTTTTGTTTCAGTTATTTTTTTGTTCGATTTTCCCAGGCGGTACTGGGATTTCAGCAGTTTAAGAACAGGATTGTACAGAGGACTTAAATGTCAATAAAAAGTGATCGTTTTTCCAGTTTGAGTCAAAGCACAAGGCCCAATCTTGTAGGATCTGTTTACATTTTGCAATTTATGTGACAGATAAGCTGACAGCACTCTTTAAACTGGAATAAGTAAATAACGAATGTTCCGTTTCTCAGGACATTTTCAGCATTTATTGTTGTCAGCTCTGGCAACAGACTGGCAGACCCACTTGCTGACAGATAATGAAGCTAAATGCACAATTCAAATTAAATCAGCTATACAACATGGGGTTGCCAGACGTGGACTTTGTTTACATGGGTTTCTCTTCTTTTGACCTCAGACTAGTTCACTGGGTTGTTTGTCATGTTTTGCCTCAGCTTTGTTCCTTAAACAACAGGCAACAAACCTGTAACACTGTATAACAGGCCTTCAGCTCATGTGAACATGAGGACATCTGCTGCTCAGTATCAGTCATCATTATTTGTAACTGAAAGGGAGTAGCCCAAACAGATGGATGCATTTTTCCATTTCAGTGGGCACAAAGCGAATTTCTTTATTCTAGTTCAACCATGTGTGATTTGAGAATGGGTAATTTGTTGACTTGACAGGATCCAAGTTCTGCACTGGTATAAATAGTGTGAGTCTGCATTAGGTCGCTCGCATTGTTCCCACCTCACCTGAGCTCTGCACTGGCTTCCCAGCTGTCACATGATACTAGTTATGTTGTCTGAGTTAATCAGGTATGGAGTTTGACCTAGAGCAGTGTGTGAGATTTTTAAAATATAAGCAATACTGAAAAACATTTATAGAATTAGGCACAGAATAGAGTTTCTGGAAGACATGTTGCATGACATGACATTTTATTATTTGTACAAAATGTTTACTTAGAGGAGACCTTCAGTGATGAGTAAAAAAGACATATACCTCTTTGTAGGAATCAAAGGTTACTATTGACATGTGTAGGTGGAGATCCTTTTTGCTTGCTAAACTGTAGAGAATAGTCCATTTTAACCTAACATTATCTCATTGTCAAAGGATTAGTTTAACCCCTTTGTGTTGTGTCTTGTTTTAGATCAGTGATGATGAGCAGGGGTATGACCTAGACCTCTTTTGCATACCAAAGCACTATGCGGATGACCTGGAGAAGGTCTACATCCCTCATGGACTCATTTTGGACAGGTAAGTTGCCACATTGGTAGTAGATTGTAGCAATGTGATGAATTGTTAGGTCAACTAAAAGGTGGGTTGTCTGAGTGATTGGTTGATTACAAAGGTCCTTTTGGATTGCTTTTCCTTTGGCAGATTTGGGATTTAAAATGAATATTGTAGATAACCTCTTCTTTTTTTTTTCTTTTTTTTGCTGGTAATTTCTTTGGGGTTATATACATAAGAAATGACAGCTCTGCCTGCTGACACACACTGAGAGGAAATGGAAACTACTGCTGACAGTAGAAGACTGAGCTGACTGTTCTCTCTTTCTCTCCCTCATGTGATTCCAGGACAGAGCGACTGGCCAGAGAGATCATGAAGGAAATGGGCGGGCACCATATTGTGGCCCTCTGTGTGCTCAAAGGAGGCTATAAGTTTTTTGCAGACCTGCTGGACTACATCAAGGCCCTGAACAGGAACAGTGACCGCTCCATCCCAATGACAGTGGACTTTATTCGCCTCAAGAGCTACTGCGTATGTAATATTTGGTACCATTTAAGATGTCTCTTTTTTTATTTTATGTTTTTATTATGCAGTGACATTGTGTTACTTTATTGTTTTGTTTAAAAGATTTACAAGTTTGAATGGATTTTTGACCACTAGTGGTACTATGAAGCAGTGTTTAGCCTTTACGTATTTTGTCTGTGTTTTGTGCATACACGAGGATGCACATGCATGTATGTGAGCACACAGGCCATACATGACGCATTCTATACATTTCATGTTGGAAATGTGAAGACTTAAAGCTGGCAACCATGGATTTAATTAATACAGGCGTTAAAGTCAAGCGTCAGTTTTTGTGTGTGCCACATTTCAATACAAACGTAGCACAAATTACCAGACTACTCAAAAGAAAATGTCAATGTGCGTGTATCCACCACCAACTGCTGTTTAAATGACAGTAATGTACATATAAGTTCTATCCAAAGTACTGTACAGTTTACCTCTCATGCACCCATTCACACACCATTTCCGTCAAGCTACCATGTGAGGTGCTGACCTGACCATCAGCCACAATTTAGGGTTTATTATCTTGCTCAAAGACACTTGGGCATGTTGCTGGAAAGAGCTGGGGATCAAACTGCTTACCCTGTAAATAGTAGATGCCCTGCTCTTCCTTCTGAGCCCTATATCACTGAAGACCCTCTGAAAGAGGATAAATCACGCACCATCGCCTTCCTCTACTTTCTACCCATTGCTATGGGCATCTTGACAAAGGGCGAAACAGTGACATGACAGGGTTCTTATATTTAACGGTAAATGTGTATGTGCCAGCCTGTTAGCATGTCTTTGATAGCTCTGTGCAGTTAACTCACTGCTTTATCTGACAACTTCTACAACTTGTGTCAAGCTGCATTTATCTTCTTTTTGTCAATGTAATGTAGAAGGCAGGAATCATATAGGAGAGACTGAAACTATTATTCTCTCCTCCACAGACATTTTACCATTCACCTGTATCCAAACAAGCCACTTCGTCAGTTTTCACCGTCACTTCTGGGTGAATTTTGCCTTCATGTCCATGAAGTTAAAAATCTTTAACTTTGGTCACTTTGCGAGACCTTTTCACATCACTTGGAATCCCACAATGCTTTGCCAAGCGATTCACTCATGTCTCATAAAATGAAATGGGGGGTGAATTTCACGTCGCTCCACACTACACTCAGTGGGTCTTCACTAAGGCTGGTGGTGTTGATTTTCCATTAAGTAATTTCAGAAAAAGAGGGCACAATGGCATGATGTAATTAAGAGTGTCAGTCAAATTTGGTAGGGAGGAAAATCACGTAGAAAACATGATACATTTGAGGATGTTAGTTTCCTCATCCGTCCGCATATATCCGTTTTGTGTGTTGCTATTTTTCGTCTCTTCGGTGGACACAAGTCACATGCTTCATGTATGCCATGGTTTATTTGCTAAGCCTGTTTCCATTGCACTCCGTTTTCTTTTTATTGATGCATCAATTTGTTCACCTCAGCCAAGTGTAAAATTTCACAATTTTAACTTCTATCTTGTGATTACACGTGGGTTTTGGTAAGAAGCATTGAATGTCGGCATCATTTTTGACTGGATTTCTACATTACACAACTGCTACAGTCATGTGAAAAAATTAGGACACCCTTTGAAAGCATGTGTATTTTGTAACACGTTTTAATATATGGTTATTTAATCTCAATTTTAACAATACAGAGAGATTAAAGTAATACAACTAAACAAGTAAAACTGAAGAAAAGTCTTTTCAAGATCTTCTGTAAATGTAATTCTACAAAAATGCCTATTCTAACTGAGGAAAAAGATAGCACACCCTCACATGTATGCCCTCTTAAAATGGCTCAAATCACACACAGGTATATCACACCAGGTGCACATAATTAGTAGATTGTTTGAGGGGTTTCTTGCATGTACAGCCCTTTTCAAGTCACCCCACAGCATCTCAATGGGATTCAGGTCTGGACTTTGACTCTGCCATTCCAGGACTCTCCATTTCTTCTTTTTCAGCCAGTCTTTGGTTGATTTACTAGTATGTTTTGGGTCATTGTCATGTTGCATGGTCCAGTTCCGCTTCAGCTTTAATTTTCTAACCGATGGTCTCACATGTTCTTCAAGCACCTTCTGATACACAGTAGAATTCATGGTGGATTCTATGATGGTGAGCTGACCAGGTCCTGCTGCAGCAAAGCAGCCCCAAACCATGACACTTCCACCTCCATGCTTCACAGTTGGTATGAGGTTCTTTTCCTGGAATGCTGTGTTTGGTTTACGCCAAACATGTCCTCTGCTCTGGTGTCCAAATAATTCAATTTTGGACTCATCTGTCCAAAGAACATTATTCCAGAAGTCCTGGTCTTTGTCAACATTCTCTCTGGCAAATGTCAGTCTGGCCTTGATGTTTCTCTTAGAGAGCAAAGGTTTCCTCCTTGCACGCCTCCCATGCAAGTTAAACTTGTGCAGTCTCTTTCTGATTGTAGAGGCATGCACTTCTACATCAACAGTAGCCAGAGCCTGCTGTAGGTCTCGAGATGACATTTTAGGGTTTTTGGAGACCTCTTTTAGCATCTTGCGGTCTGCTCTTGGTGTGAACTTGCTGGGGCGACCAGACCTGGGCATGTTGGCAGTTGTTTTGAAAGCCCTCCATTTGTAGACTATCTTCCGGACAGTGGAATGGCTGATTTCAAAATCTTTTGAGATCTTTTTAAATCCTTTACCAGACTCATAGGCTGCTACAATGTTTTTTCTGAAGGCCTCTGACAGCTCTTTTGCTCTCACCATGGTGCTCACTCTCACTTCAACAGTCAGGAGCACACCAAACTAAATGTTTGAGGTTTAGATGGGGCAAGCCTCATTCAAAATGCTGAGTAACGATCTACTAATTATGTGCACCTGGTGTGATATACCTGTGTGTGATTTGAGCCATTTTAAGAGGGCATACATGTGAGGGTGTGCTATCTTTTTCCTCAGTTAGAATAGGCATTTTTGTAGAATTACATTTACAGAAGATCTTGAAAAGACTTTTCTTCAGTTTTACTTGTTTAGTTGTATTACTTTAATCTCTCTGTATTGTTAAAATTGAGATTAAATAACCATATATTAAAACATGTTACAAAATACACATGCTTTCAAAGGGTGTCCTAATTTTTTCACATGACTGTATATTGCACTATATACAACTTTTTGACCTAGTTTTGTTTCTTAATATTCTGTGCCTGTACAACCTTTAATACGAAGTCGACTTCATTCTTGTCTTCACAGAACGATCAGTCGACTGGTGAAATCAAAGTAATCGGTGGCGATGACCTGTCAACGTTGACGGGCAAGGTAAGAAGTATGAAGGGCAACATTATTATAGCTAAAATGATCTTTGTTGACATTGATCATTATTGGTAATAATAATATTACTTCGTCTTAAAATGAGAAACAAGGTTTTTCCACTGATACAATATTAATTTGTTGTTTGACAATGAAATGAGAAGGCTACAGCCAAGGTTACATGTTAAGATAAAATGTATCCAGTGTTTTTCTCACTATGATGATTCTGTTTTTCTTTTTTACACAGAATGTCTTGATTGTAGAGGTATGTACTGAATTTATTGTTATATTTTAAAATAGGAAGCCTTCAGTTCCATGACCCTAATATGAGCTTCTCATGCTGTGTTTCAAGGATATTATCGACACGGGAAAGACGATGAAGACATTATTGCAACGCCTCAAACAGTACAATCCCAAAATGGTTAAAGTAGCAAGGTAATTCAGTCTTTTTACAACAAGCCTTCAGATACCACCTACAGTATGATGTGTAACAAAAGGAATCATATTTATCTGAGTATTCCAATAACAATAGTTTGTAGTGGCTCCTGTAACTACAGTGTTTTGATGATCAGTCTGATTTCTGTCCTCAGTTTGTTGGTGAAGAGAACACCAAGAAGTGTTGGCTACCGGCCAGACTGTGAGTTTAAGACAAACGTTTTGGTTAAACTTCATAGTAAGCCTGCATGATAAATCGATTTGTGAGCATGATTTTGATCCCTGTGTGATCTCTCTCACGTCAAACAGAATTATTATCACGTGAGACTGAGATCGCACAGGGATCGAACTCATGCTCACAAATCGATTTATCATGCAGCCCTACTTTAGTTATTAGAAGGCACTGTTTTAAAGTGTAGTCGGCTTTTCAATGAACGCTTTGTATACCTTCATTTCAGTGCTGTTAGTTTACCACTACAAAGACAAAGTGATTGACTGACCTGTTTTATGTCAGTTGTAGGATTCGAGGTCCCTGACAAATTTGTGGTGGGATATGCGCTGGACTACAATGAGTACTTTAGGGATCTAAATGTAAGTATTTGAGATGTGTAAAGAAACTTAAAGAGTAAAGCATCTTATGTTTCACATGTCTAGAGTTCGGATAAACAGTTTGTAGCTTTGTTTTAATAATAGGTCTGACCAGCCTATGGGACCAGAATGATGACTTTCAATGTTGGCATTGAAAAATAAAACTTGGTACTGAAAACAAAACCAAAACTGATAAAGACAACATTGGCATCGGCAAGTTTGTATTTAGGGGTGGAGGGTGTGTCCACTGTGCGCAACATTGTCAAGAGGTTTACAGCTCATGGCGCTGTAGCCAATCTCACTGGATGTGGACAAAGGAGAAAAATAGATGACAGATTGCAATGAAGAATATATATGTTTTTTTTAATATACAAAATGTTCAGTACCGTTGTTTTCTTTTCAGTTCTGGTTTTGTTTAAAATCATCATTCTGGCTCCATACGAGACCCCCTAAACAAATAATGTGAATCAATATTGTGCTGTAATACTCACTGATCCTTTTCTGTTTCAGCATATCTGCCTCATTAGTGAAACAGGGAAGGAGAAGTACAAGGCATGAAGACCACTTTGTAACCATTTTTTTTTTTAAATGTGTGGTTATATCATTTCATTTTATATTCTATTACGTCATTCTTTTGTCATTTCAAAATCCCCAGCCTGCTCAGGGTCCCTGAGGATGCACTCAAGTGGCGACAATCCTGACAGTCATGTTTCCTGTTGTAGCCAGCACATGTATGCACAGGCTGGATTCACCTTAAGATAAATTGATTGTCTTAGAGCCACACCTGGGTTGAACAGCATGGAGCCCAGCTTGGCCTGAAATTAGTATGTTTCTTTACCCCCCATTAAGCAATGGAGTAATTTATTCAAAGCAGTGCTGCTAACGTGAAGTTCAAAATCACAGTTGTGCTGCCAAAAGACTTCACACATTTGACAACCTCCTGTTTTATAATATATTGCTTTTACTGTCATTCTATTTTTACTTGGAACTATCAATATGGGCTCTCTTAAAGAGGACGTTATATTTTCTTGACGTCTGTATGTATATTTTGGGACAAAACACTCTTCTATGTTACTGTGTTGTGTGATTAGATTATCTTAAAATAGACTGTTGAAAATGAACACAAATACTGGCTGATGTCCCTAAATAAACACACGGGTATGCTGAAGATGAAATATCCTCTTATTTGAGTGTTAATGAAATCTTGATCTGAACAAAGCATTCATTAAATTTCTTTGTGTTAACATAAAAGACAAATCCATTTTATGCTGAAAAATACATAGTTTATAGATGTATGAATGTTCATTTGATACTTCAGTTGGAGTTAAGTTCAGTTGTGTTATACTTCATTAAATGAGACATAATTTAAATAGTTTTTAAAATTCTTAAAATATAAAATGCTATCATTTTATGGTGCCATCACTGTGAACCAGTGTTGACTGAATTTTGCGGTATCTGGCATTAAATGTTCACACTGATCTTGCAACTGGTGGAATATACTAGAAAGCATTTTATACAAAATAATACTATATACCTAGAACATTGAAATCATTGTTGGCCAATCAATGATGGAAATTCAGTTGTGATGCAGTTAAAAGTATTTACTGGAAATAGTATTGGGTTCTTGAATTATGTCAAGGATCTGAAGGAACTCACAACTTTCTAAAAATGAAATGAGTCCAAACTAGTTTGGCCTTCAATTATTATCAAGTTCATGTATTTGACCTGTTTTTGTTACCTGAAAGTCAAGGCCTAGACTCTTGATCTGCACAGTAGGCCATTAAATCTGGGGAAAAAAAGAACATGTCTACGGTATCACTAACTGAGAGTTAGGGAAAGGTCACACAATCCACCAGATGGTGATCACAAAGTTTTTATCAAACTGGGCTATTCATGTCCGGTTGTTTGGGATTAAATTCCTGTAGTTTATTATTTTACAGTGACTAAGTTTTAGCCTGGATGATTTGTAATTCAAGATAAGTTGATTAAGAGATTAATTTAATTCCAATGTAATGATTGTCATTTTATTCATGTCTGTTGTTAATGAAAACATTTACTGACCTTGCTAGATGTATATACTTCTTTGATTCTGCTTCATATTATTCGTGGCTCCTGATTAGACTATATTAGTATGTAATAGATTTACAGAATGACGGACGCTATATATAGAATATCATGGTGTTATCTGTAGTTAGCCTAACAGGATCGGCGGACTTCTTGGCTGTACCTAACCCTAAAAACAGAAAATCTGCCTAAAAATTCATATCTCCATCGTCGTGTGAGAGTTTTCAGGGGACCAGTCAAGGACATTTAATAATTTCTTGACCCAACATTTGTCGTCATTCTACTTTAGTGTGATGAGACGTTTACCATGACACTAGACGTAACTTTAGAATGAATGCCAGAGTTTATCCAGGAGCCCATTCCCTCAGCTATGGGTGTTACATCCATTAGTTCCCTTTGAGCACGCCGGTAAACGGAGGTGTTTCATTGGACAGATCTGCTAACGTTGAAGGGGGCGTGAAGTTTGCTGCTAGTAGCTAGCGTCCGTGTGATCATCTGGGATCCTGTCCATTCTTGGCGGCGTCCTGCAGAAACGAAATACGAGATTGTGGAATCTAGATTATTACCAACAAACACAGTTTAGTTGACATGTGTCAGCCGTAGTAGCTATTAGGGTGATGGACAGGAACATTTAGTGAAATGGTGAACTGGCCTTCCTCTCTGGACATGGCATTGCGGCTATTAGCGTTAATGCTAACTTAGCTCGTTAGCTTAAGAGGCTAGGTAGCTGGGCTGTTGGCTGTCGCTAAATCGACTAGCTAGCGATAAGTATAGCACTAGCTTACGTTAGCTAGAAAGTATATTCGCTTTATGAGAATCACTTAACAGCACCGTCGTTAGATTAACGCCACCTACGTTAGGTTGAGACTAACATTCATTTTGTAGTCAAAGTAACCAGTGGGCTAGTCTGGCTGACGCTAAGTAATTTAAGGCGCTAACATGCAGTAGTAACTAGTTGAGTATTGTTTCAGTCGTCAACCACTGCTGCTTTGCACCAGCAGACTAACGGGTCGGTGGCTATCAGTTACCGGGCATTGTGCGGTATGTAGCCATAGCACGCTAACAATCAGTAAAGTTGGAAACTGGTAATAACGTTACAGAGAACGTTAGCATATGCCAGTTCTGGCTGACTAGTCCTGATGTGAAAAACTGTAGTGATAACATTGCCAGTGTTAAGTTGGCGCAGGACTGGACGATAGGGCCTTGCATGCAGCTCTGGGCTACCTCCATTGCGATAGCTAGTTTGCCTCACGTCAGTTCGTTTGCATGATTGATGGTACCTCTTCAAATCATGTAAAGTTAGCAGAGTTTGGAGAGCAACAATGTAACATCACTGAGCTGGTTAGCCATTTTAAGTTGGTGAATTGTTGACAGGCAACCCTAGCTAGCAAAATGAACAATCCAGGAGTCTTGCCACAAGAAAAGATGGAGCTGGATCTGGAAATCCCATCTTCGCTAGTTCAGACCGACGGACACTTGAGAAGATCCAACAGTGCACCCATGATAAATGGCTTAAGGTTAAACAATATGGCAGTTAGCAATTTGCTGCAAAGTCTATTGAATACGTTTGTTTTAATTCACACTGTATTAAAGGCATTACCCTCGCCTAATTTGTAGAAGACGCATGCCATATGGATGGTCTTTGAATTTGTCATTGCAGTGATAACTCACAAGTATTCCAGAGAGAAGTCCTGCGTAGCCGGAGAAATAGCACAACAGTTGTTAACAGGCCCAACATGGTACAGTACTTTATTAAAAACATTTGCTCAAGGAGTTTGTGTCTGAATGACGGTACTGAATGTTCTCCTGTCTACTTGCATTCTCCTTTACAGGTTCCTTCATCACCTATTCGTGTCCCCAGCACCAGACTTCATCAGATAAAACAAGTAAGAGAAGTGAACTGTGTCATGTTAAAATGGAGCATGTCAGACCACTGTCTCCCTCTCAAGCCATAGGGATTGATGGTGTCTAAAACACATGCTAGATCATAACCTCCCGGAGTTCACAGGGCCATCGATCTTGCAGAGTTGATCATTTGGTAGTATCAGACTCCAACATAGTGTTTGGTTAATAAGGTTTCCTCTGCTGGCCGAATTTCATTTCTATTGGTGAAGTGGAAAATAGTTCAGTTTTAGCTGTTGAGATTAAGGTTGGTGTACCATTACATCTGAACAAAGCTCGACTGCAGTGGCATAAAATAATGTTTTCTATGTTTGGAATCTGTTGAATTCAGAATAGTTGTTTTCATAGGCACCAACTCTCTTGTGTCCTCTTGCAGGAGGAGGGTGTAGACGTGATGAACAGAGAAACTGCTCATGAACGGTAAACTGTGCAGTAAAGAATGCAGTGCTATTCTTTTTTTTTTTGTTGTTGTATGTAAATGCTAATAGGCACGAGCTTGCTGCTTTTCTGTTTTTGCACACAGGGAAGTTCAAGCTGCCATGCAAATGAGCCAGTCCTGGGAAGAAAGCCTTAGTCTGGTAAAAATGACTCTTCATTACAGCCTTAGCAACCCTCCATCAATGTTGTTGATATGCTGGAAGTTGGTTCTGCTACACCTTCCCACTGCATGTTATGGCCCTGAGCCTTTGCCGCTCTCTCTGTTACTGTAGAGGGGACAAGCACAAACATGCTAGATTAACACTTAAAACATCTGGGAGTTAACAGGGCCAGCAGTTTCTCAAGGTCAGACTGAACTGGTAGTATAATACTCCAACATTCTTGCGTTCTTTTGGTAATGTTTTCTGCCCTATCACATGGTGCCATAGACATACGGTACAATGAGAGATGATACTGTATTCTCAGAGTGACAATGATTTGGAGAAGTCGGCATCTTCGTCCCCAAAGCGCATCGACTTTGTGCCTGTGTCACCTGCCCCGTCCCCAACCAGAGGGATAGGAAAAAAGGTGTGTATCTGACCACTATGTTTACATGCACGTAACCCTGAATAAATAAATGAGGGTAATACTTAAAGCATTATCCTGGTTTGAAGTAGCCTGATTTTCAGTCAGATTAATGAACGGAATAGCCTGCAGAAAGCAATGCATTAGCATCTGAAAACATAACGCTGACAGTAATCCCGCTGCAATTTTCCCACCATGGGAAAAGGGTGTGTCCATGCCACAATAATATAAAAAGACTGACAAATAACCTGTCAGTTAACAGGGTTTCTCCTGTCTATTTTGACCTTAATTTGACATTGCCTTAATCTGGCACCAGTCAAATTATTAATGTGCATTTCTAGACATGTTGATCCCTCGATGCTGACGGTTGTCTTATATTTCACATTTGTGCAAGCAGCAGTGTTTCTCTCCTTCACTACAAATCCTCGTGAGCAGCAATGGCCTAACACCCAGCCCAATCCCAAGCCCAACGCGTCGTTTCAGGTGAGCACCAAGTTTCAGACTAATAACTGCTTTTAATAACTTTTCTTATCTACTACTTATGAGTTGACTTATTGTATCTGTGTGACAGATGGCCAGTTTTGTACAGGCAGATTTGCAGCTGTAGCTAATGGTCAATGATTGTGGCTGTATTTCAAAAGATACTGGTCTGTCAATGTGTGGATTTTCTGTGCTCTTCAGCCGTCGGAGTCAAAGCCCAATCAACTGCATCAGAGCCAGCATACTTGGGCCAATAAAACGTAAAGGTGAGGTATCTAACATTTCTAAAAAAAAAAACCTTAAGTACTTTGATGAAGATTCTCATATCTAAATTATATTAAAGGCAATGGAATAATGACTGTACAGTGTAATGTAAATGGGGTTTTCCTATCTAAAGAATAACTACCGTATTAGTCAGTTCAAATGTCAATCTATATTTTCCTTATGTTCATCTAGCCAATGAACATCACTTGGCTTTATAAAGTTATTTTTAGGGTTGACCTTCAAACATTAGACTTATGTAAACCACTCTACATATCTCTAGTTGAGCAGTTATGATTAAGATATTGTGTAAATATTACATTTAACATTTGGAGACTGGGTTGGCTCTCTGGTGATGAAATCTGTATTTCATACTGTCTCAATGTATGATTGCAGTAAATGCTTTATTTCATCCATCTCCCTTTTGATCTTAGCCTCAGACTGTGCATATTGAACAAGGTTTGTATCCATTTATTTTGCAGGTGAGATGGAGGTAGAGAGTCAGCCTAAAAGGCTCTTCCAGGGTACCACGACCATGTTGTCCTCAGACGTGTCGAATCTTTCAGATCTCAGTTCCTGGTAAGGTTTTTGTGGAGCAAAATCGGTCCTCACCATGGATTAGATGTACTGTAGCAGCTATTTAATGTTCACCCTCTAATTGTTGAGCCACTTCCCTTTAAATACTAGGCAGTTTGGGCTGGGAAAAGTGGTGTTTAGCTGTGTAGTTTGCACCCGAGTTCCTGCTCAGTATTTGCACACATTATATTCAAGATCTAGATTGTAAAGACATGTAGAGGAAAACACTTAATTGACAGGATGTTTGAGAATATGTGGACTTTAAAGTGACAGGTTAAAATGTCTTAATTAGGGAGCAAATAAGGGCTGCCTCAAATTACTGCATTATCGATTCATCTGAAGTTTTTCTCTATCAATTGATCATTTGGTATACAAAACATCACAAAAGTGTCTTTTTAACTTTTGTCTATCTCCAAAATTCAGATTCAGTTTATTATAATAAGATAGAGGAGCAGCAGTCTCATTTGACAACCTGTAGCCATTAGATTTGTAGCATTTTTATTTGATTAATGAAAATTTCAGTTATAAAAATTGATGCAGATCAATTAATCAGCTATTATGAATTGGGGGTGTCATTCCTGTAACTGGAGTCAAATGTGTGGTTTTCTTCAGGGTGAGTTTAACCTCACTTAGTATTATGGCAGTCTTACTGAACTAGGCCTTTTGTTTCAGTCACTCTCCAGATTTACTAGATGGCAGCCTCAGCAGCATCGGCTCTTCCACCGACTCCCCAGGTAAAATGGAGGGAGTGTCACCCTCCTCGTCCAGCAACTCACCCTTCACTTCCCTCCAGGATTTGTCTCCAAAATGAGCACAGGGTGGTGAGAGACTGAAACGACTGGTGCATAAAAGTCCCTCTCACCAGGGAACTAGTTTCCTTCTTAGACCCTCCACTTCGCCATTGCCTAGATTTAGTTTTAAGCGGAATTTTCCATGTTTGCTTCTGAACAGCTGTGTTCATGGCTATGCTTCGGAGGATCTCTGTTTGAAGTAAGGAAACGAAAGCCGTGGATGAGTTTAAGAGGTAAGCCTACTGACACTGGGAATGATTGAAGGCACTGTGAGCACCAGCTGCTAGTAGAGGATCTTGGGTGGTGCTTGGCTTCATAGTGATGTTGTGTTCATAAGTGGCTATCCTGCAGATCAGTCCCACCAGTTCCCCTAAGACATTGAGCACTGGACAAAAAAAAAAAGACTTTGAATGTGTACATTTTTCTGTTACTGTGCTGGAATACTTCTGTCCACAGCCTTTGGTGTGTACACAGTCTGCAGATTTTATAAGAAAAGATTTAAGTTATTGTTTTTCTGCTTTGTTTGTAATTATGTACATATAATCTTGTCAGATGTCATACATATTTTTAGGTTTGGCCATGAGGTCAGTGTTGGTGCAGGTTTTCAACTGCAGTAGTTTTTTTTTTTTTGTTAAAGGAACATGGACTGCTTCTGGGGTACAACTATGGAGATTTCTTTACTGTTTATCATGCAAGAAGATATGTCTTCTGCAGATATTCTGAATATTTTTTGAATATAGGCTGTGAAATGTGTTCTGTTGTTTCCCAGCTCAGTTTGTGTGCTCTCCTGTGGTCTTTGAACACTAAAGGTTCCTCTGTATCCTGTGTTCTTATCAGGATGTTTTTTTTGTAAATAAGCAAAGTATAGAAATGATTTGATTTTCTTCTGGCAAAATATTTTTATTTATGCAAAGCTGTTTATTATAAAAATTGGTTGGTGATAGTTTTCTATCCCCAGTAAAAGTGAATCATATGTGTTGTCATTTATACCAAATCAACTGACTGCTGGGATGTGCAGCAAAAACAAAATGGCACCATAAAGAGGCTGCTGTTCCTGTGGTGGGTACATGTATTAAAAGAGCTTTTTGCACAGGATACCCAGTCCTGTAATGTTTTATCTTATCTCCCAAGTCTTAAGCAGGAAAAGACAAAAAACAAAACTTGACTTTCAAACTATCCCAAGAAACACAGTATGCAAAGCCTGCACTGTGATTTTTGTACCTGAAAATTTCACCTGCCATATCCCCAGTGTAACTCAAGTTTTGAATTCCTCTGTGACTCAGTAGCCTTTAATGTGTATGTATAGTAGGAAGTAATTGTAAATCATTTCATGGTAATCTGTCCTTTAATTTAAAGATGTGTGGTTGCAGTTTATTTGCTGAATGTTGTTTTTCATTTATACAATTAAGGAATTCAGTCAGCTTGCCCTGCTGTCAATAAGATCACCCCCTACCCCCCAAATGACTCCTTATCCCAGTCATCTTAACTATACAGGGAAAGAATTTAAGTAATTTTATGCTGTATGTCTGTAATGGAAAGGCTGTACTCTGCCAAGCTGACTAATGCCTTGCCTATGCTTGTCATTTGTGATTGCCCTCATAGTGGACACCAGGACTAAATAAATTATTTCTTTATTATATTTGTGTAGCTGTTATAAATATTCCAAGAAGATTGTTTTTGTCTAATTTGAAATCCAAGACCACAGTAGGATAGTGTCATCCCTAAACCATATTTACTGTACTGGAACCAAATGCAAGCAGTGGTAAGTCCTGGTTTTCAGGTGTCAAGCCTGATATCATCCAGCCACAAGTGGATTTTTTTGTTTTGTTTTGTTTTTTTCCCATCAAACATCACTGTAAAGCTAGCAGAGGCCTTGTCATGTTTGGGAGCACTACACCCTCTTCACCCAAAATAATATGAACATTATACCAGACAGGCGTAATGAGACTTTATTAAACGGTTGATGGAGCATTGATCATAGTATGGCAAGCAAACCATTATCTTCAAAAGAAAATGTTTCCTTTTGTGACATGTAAAAGTATCCTACTACTGAAAAAATTTCAGATATCCACACGTGCAAATAACTGCATTTAGTCTACACTAAAAATGATTTATAATGTATAATTGGTGGTTATAGGTGAATACTATAACAAAACTTGAATGGCTTTATATACATGTTTGCATGTAGATTCCTTCACACTCAAGTTAACCATATTCTGTTATATAATGGCAATGGAAATACGAGGCCAAACCACACTGTGAAAGGCCTCATGTTTCTTCACAGACAGCTCCTTGTAAATTACTTTGACTCACACATCAGAGGTCTCTACTGTTGCATTAGTTCAGTATTGTGTCAACATATGTATTAACACAAAAGGGTGAATTTAAAAATGAGTATGCCAAAAATATGTTTTTCTGGAGACACGGTGAACTAAACAAGTACCCCATCCCCCTACTGTCACCTCTCCTCTGAGTTGTAGGAGCACCTCTGGTGTGAACATGTTCTCTTCCACCTTTTAGACCATCTTCTCTCCTTCCCTTCAGCTCACAGCACTTCATGTGCGTAGGATGACCATTGTAAGAAGACCTAAAATGTAACAAAAAAAACAACAGAGGGCCAAAGGATATTGTAAACTCCAGCACAAACTCTCAATGTGCATAGAAGGATTTTTAAAGTTAATGCAACCTAAATCTGTCCTTGACAATTGTATAACGTAGTGTAATATATATTTTTTAAACTTACCAAGAACATAAGCAGCTACAAGTTTCTTGTTAACACTTAAATGGAGGTAGACAGGCACAGTAGATTCTTGCTCCCCCTGTGTCGGGAGCATCAGGGCGGCTATACACACCAGCCCAAGTAGCACTGTCAGCACACTGGGTCCACCGGCAACAGGACGGCTCTCTGTTAGGCATACACACATGCATGCATTGTGATGTAATTAAAACCCATGAAAAAAAATAAATCAGTCTTTGACTCTACGCCTCAAGCCCATTGATTACTACTAAAGAAACAAATCTGTAATAGGTCAGGGATATATATTTTAATTTTTAAAAAGGCTACATAATTTTCTGAAATAGCTGGGCACAGCAGGTTTTAGCCAGTCCTTCTAAAAGAGGAGAAAATACAGTATTGTTGCTGACTATTTTCTAGCTCAGATTTGGTTGAAGTTGCTTTGGTGAAATGGGGCTGAATGTCCTGTGAATGATGAAAATGTTACCGTGATGAGTTTTAATGCATTTGTCTCCATCTAGTGGTAACACCACAGAACAGTCTTTTGTCCTACCCGTCTGAAATGCAGTCTGTTCAAAGAACTCGCTGTCTGCAAACTGCTCTTTGATCCTACGTTCCTCATCTTGGGGCCGAGGACTGGGTGGCTCCTGAGAGGCTGAGGGACGGAGCGTCGCCGTCACCTCTTTGCGACCTAGAGCTTTCCGCTGACTCTGCTCTGACACCTGTAGTCGGAACTTGTCGTACACCCCATAATGGCATGCCCGCACATCTCTGTGTCTGATTACTCTGTTGGGACACACAGGCTCTTTACCTGACTAGCTGATAAACAACCATCTGACTGTCAACATGCATTCAAATCTGCCCAACAAGCCTACATGCACAACATCCTCATGGATACATCTAGTCCCTTTGGTGATATACCACTGCATGGGAAAAAAAATCAACTCACATGTCAACACAACACTGTGGCTTGACCGCTCCAGTGGCATCCACCACAGTGTATTTGTTTGGCGCTGTGCAGAGCACTAAGAGAGAAAAAACAATTATCCAAATACACTGGAATAACTAATAAATATAACACTGCATACATTAAGCCCGAAATAAGTTGTTTTCCTCCACTCACTGACCTTTAAACTTGAGGGCAAACTCATAGGGGTTGTAGAGGGTGAGCACCTGCTTGTGAGATGTCTGCTCATCTGCGTAGAAGACGAGCTCAGTGGGGAACACAAACACGGGAAGGCTTCCTTCCACTAGCTCAGGCTGTCGATGCTGCTGCTGCATTGGCTCCAGCTGAGCTCTTCTTCTTCCCCGTCCACGGTCTACCTGGGCCCTCCCAACTCTCTCTACCAACTATCAAGCTGGGTAAACTCCCTTTAGGTAGAAATGGCACTCAGCTTCTTATAGCCATGACGCGATACTGTGAACAGACATAGGTAATGTGTAAGAAAGTACATTTACTCAAGAGGCGCTGTCAAAAGGCACTTGTTTACATTCTGGGACACTCTGTTTGTACTTTACTACATTTTATAAAGAAATACTGCATTTGTTATTACACTTACCTAAACAACAGCTGCTCCTCCCAGTTACTGTGCATCTTAATATTTTGCATGTGACAGTTACAATGAAGCTTGCATTTCCAAGGTTTCAACTATAGCACATTTGATGCTGAATTTGCAATCAATACCAGTATCAATATTTGACGGTTTAAAAAACACCTATAAGCAATATTTTAACTCATGGCGATGAACTGTTATCTAATGTAATGTGGCCACACTCTTTGGGATTTCACTCATGCAATTTCTTGCAACTCAGCACATGTACTGATACTAATATGTTTGCAAAACTTTATGTGATATAATGGTGTAGCTCTGGTTGAAACTACGCAGAAGTATATAAAGCAGTTAAACCATATACATGTAACACATGGTTTATGCAAGCTATTTATAAATAAACCAACTCTGAAAGGGACCCGAACAGTTGCTAACATGTTTCCTTAATTTAACGTTAGATAATGGATTTTAATGGGGTATATAGCGTTTTGGGTTAAGTATTTGGACGCTTTTTCTATTCAAAATTGATAAGATTATAATGCATTTATTAAAAGTTAACAGAAGCTGAGCAAGACAAACAGCATTAACTGTACTCCATGCGGCTGGTCACGTGGCTCTGTCTGTTTACATGGTTACGGGAGTGCTCCTGGTGTGGAAACACTTATCGTCCACATAAAAATCACGACAAACTCATTTCATTATTAACAAAGCTTTAAATAATTCGATTTTCTTGTTTCTTTGTGAGCGTCGCTGTGTATTATTTCACAATCAAGTTTTCTAGCCAACTTTATTATCGAGATGGTGTGGCGTAAACCATGATCTGTAAGCTGCCTTAAAACTGCAGTTACATCATGACACCGTAAACAGACAAAAAATTAGGTCTTCAAGCAGATATGTTGGTCATAAATATAACAACGGGGTCATTTCGAAAAATGAGTTTATATACACACGATCAATCATTAACTGAACCCTACAAATGTATTACATTTGCTTGTCCTAACGCTGTAATAACCTATATTTATAGTGTAACGCTAACGATGGCTATTGTTAAGCTGGCTAGCATTAGCCGGTTAGGAAAGCCCCCAGATGGTAGCTGATAGCCACTTAACGTTGACTACACGTAGTGTCATTAGAGACAACATAGCAAAACGTTGTTTTATTTAAGGGAAAAAAATGAAAGTGAGACTGTACCTTGTTGTCAGAACAAGGGCTCGTGTAATGTCAATGCTCTGACCAGGGTCTGTGCGCTCCGTTCCCACCCTGTTGTTGTTTCTCTCCAGCCGTTTTTCTTTGTCAATATTATACTGCAGACCTCGCGGTGCATGCTGGGATGGTGGACGTGCATAACGTCAACAAAGCGGACGTAAAAATGGACCAAGCAGTAATCGGAGTAACCACTGGGAGTAACGCGTGTTTATAATAACTTCATAACGCAAGGAAGCATGTAAATACAAGAGTTTCAACCTCCTAAGCCACGCAAACTGTGTTATTGCGGAACACTTTGAGTTCTTAAATCACAAAGTATGTCAAATTTGCGCACAAAATATAGCTACTTCATATGATCATTTGAAGTGCATTAGTCTAAATATTTTCACCACGATGATCATGAAAGGATATCAGGTTACTTCTCCTTGCTTTATTTATCATTAAATAAATATTTATCATAATCATATTTATTTTTATTTTCAGTTTTTGTTTCTTTTCTAAATGTGCATTTTCTTTAGATTCAGCCACTGCTGCACAAGATGCATATAACGTAATGACATTGACTGACAGGGGTAATGGCCAATCTAATTTTTATTTTTATTTTTGTTTATGGGATAGGCAATAAGGTGCACGTGTTCTTGTTATGCTGTGATTTAGAGGCATATGGTTGAGCTTTTGAGACACCGTGAACGCAACAAGAGTGACAGGAGAGGAACCGAGGTTGTGTGTGTGTGCGTGTGTTTATTACATTGTCCAGATATATTTTTATGTCATTATTGTGAGTACACTTCGGCGTTGTGAGTACATTAACTACAAAGGGCATTTTGAGGGGTAAGACGGTTTGAGGGTTAAGGGCAAAATTAGGTTGGGGTTAGTGCAAGGGTTGCTTTTAGGCTAGGGAATGCATTATATCGGTGAATGTCCTCACAAAGATATCTATACAAGCATATGTTTGTGTGTATTAATGTGTGTGAGAGGGGAGGAGTGTGAAGGAATTGACAAGAAATTTCAGGTCGATGAATATACAGTATATACAGCTACAACTATCAGTACCAGTCAGGCAAATGGGCTGCCTTAGGGACCATATACACATATGTACCAGAGGCAGACTATGTTTCTGAATATCCGCCCGTGAAGCACACATACAAACATAAGGGTAGGCGTATGTACTGTATACAAGAGCCATCTCGACCTCGTTATATATTTATATATTAATGTAGGCGTGGTTAGAGGAATTGGGCTCAGCCAATAGTGTCGCAGTGGAGGGAGCGGGGCGTTCCATTCGGTTAGGAGCAGAAGTTGAACAGCGCGAGCCGAGTCAGAGCTCTAGAAAGGCAGATAGAAAGAGGACAGAGGCAACGGCCCTCTTCTGGAGGGGGGCTTATTATAACAATTATATATACACACACGTGTGAACTGTTTGGCCGCACGATAGGTCATATGTGGATAACAGTTATTTTAGAAAAGCATACAGCCGCGGCTTTGTATTTAAAATGCCTATTTTACTTTTCCTGTTAGACACGTCCGCCTCTATGAATCAGCGCACTTATTTGGGTACGACGTATCTGGACATTGCTAAAGGCGCGGTTGAGGTCTTTATGAAGGTAAAGGATGATTTCACCCCGACCTTTTTCAGCAAGAATGCACCTTTGATGAGCTTACAGCTCCTTTAGCAAAATCGGTCGAAATTAATATATGTTGTTTTGGTTCTCTTTTTTGACAGCTGCGTGCCCGAGACCCGGCTAGTAGAGGCGACAGGTACATGCTAGTTACATTCGATGATCCACCATACGGAGTGAAGGTAATTAGCAACTGATAAAATTTTTTACATTTGACAAGTCGAACGTATTTTTCCTGTCAGTAAGCCTTTATTGTCCTTCTGATTTGTAGTCAGTGTTGGGCGGTTTCCCGGTGGCGAAAAACGGCTTTTTTCGCTTCCAATACTCGCAGATCCGGAGCTGCACTGCCTCCTAACATCTAGCAGACATTTTGCTTTTGTGTCGAGAAAAGTCTCGGGCGTTGAGATGGAGGCGGAGAGATTTATTATTGCCTATGACGTCGCGCTTTTTTTGACAATGTAACATTTACATAGGTCAAAAAGGCCGCCAATCATCCTGTACCCCTCCCATTGCATCATTCACGCCTTGCCATTGGTCAGTCTGGTCTGAAAGTTGATAAGCCCTTTTCATCATGAGATTTTTTATGAGTTCGGTAGAAGAAAATAATCATTATTCATATGATAAATATTTCTCATGTCGATACTATGACGTGAGCATTTTTTGCCCAGCATCCAAACACTCTCAAGTTTTCAGTCACACAACAACCTGAATTTCATTACAGGGGTTTCATGTATCATCCACACTAATCTACTGACTTATTTTATTATTTGGCATACATCTCTCTCTGAGCTTTTCATGCCCAATAAAAATACAATCCTGAGTACCCACATGAACCCCTGATGTACTTCAGTGGCTGGTCTGTTTTCAAATTTTCTTGGCTTGCCTAACTCTCTTAAGTACTGACTCCATCCCATGTCATTGATGCTTGAAGGCTTGAAGAAAAATTTGCGTTATAATTATTATAATTCTTGTTTGCATATCTCATGACCAAATTAGTATAAAAAATCAGAATTTATGAATGACTTTACGTTACTAGTGTGAGGTTTAAAATATGTGCAAAGTAGGCCTATAGTGCAGGTTAAAAGGTAATTATACTAGTTAATCCTATAGTTTTATGATATTCTTGAAAGTCTAATTTCTGTGTACTATGCCGTACCATTCCAACAGCGGCAGCTTTTGAAAGAGTCCCAGACCAGAAGTGACAATATTGTAGTCTATTTAGTAATAATAGAGGAATGCATAACTATATAATAATAATAATACGGTATAATATTTTACCATCTTATTGTATACATGCAGGGATAGGGGTGTGCCTCTATTTATCATATGAGCAATAAAGAAATTGGGAGGTGATTAAATAATTTAACATGTGCTCAGAGTGAGAATATAGGAAATTAGTTGAAAAATAAAGGTTTTAATTTGTAGCTTGCTATGATTTTGTTATACTTACTGTGATATACCTTGAATATACAGTGGGTACGGAAAGTATTCAGACCCCCTTAAATTTTTCACTCTTTGTTATATTGCAGCCATATGCTAAAATCATTTAAGTTCATTTTTTTTCCTCATTAATGTACACACAGCACCCCATATTGACAGAAAAACACAGAATTTGACATTTTTGCAGATTTATTAAAAAAGAAAAACTGAAATATCACATGGTCATAAGTATTCAGACCCTTTGCTCTGTGACACTCATATTTAACTTAGGTGCTGTCCATTTCTGCTGATCATCCCTGAGATGGTTCTACACCTTCATTTGAG